TTGCTTGAGGTATTTTTTGTGTTTTTCTTCCTAAATGTAAAACATATTTTATTATCTATTTCTATAGAATTAAGGGAAATTAATATTTCTTAATATAAGATTTCATTCTTCTATGCAACCCAATTGAAAATGTTTTGTTCAAAAGGCTACAACATGCCTGATATTTAAGTCATACAATATGAATAGATACAGAACTATATGGCTTTCTTATGAACTACTCATGGGGAAACAATAAGATGACTTTAATGATCTAGCAATGTATATATTCCAAGATCATTTATAATCAAGCACTCTCCTGATTTCTAAATAATGTGAAAATGAAAAATATATATATATAAAAAAACTAAACATGGCAAGTTTGCTAGCTTATTTGATAAGCCTGAAATAATCAGAAGGACTAAATATCAAATTTTTAATAAAGCCACATCACTACTTCCGTAGGTATACCTTCAAATCACCTCTTGTCATTTTCTGTGGAAAATTATACTTGGAAGATACCACCTGTCTTCTGCCCATTCCGTGAGACCTTGAAAGCAAACAGTCTATGTACATATCCCAGAAGTCTTGGGCTATGTTTAAAAAGATGCTGTAATGCCCAGGCCGCTGAGATTTTTGCAAGAACAACATGAAATTCCAGAAGGCATCCACGTTGTGCTCTATCTTGAGTTCCTTGAGGTCTATCAGTGTCAGAGAGCATGTGTTCCAGCACTGCAGATCTACATCTTCTGTGATGCCCGGACTGATGCTGGCTAGCACTCCCTTTTGAAATTCAAAGTCAGCATTTGTGAGATTGAACAGCATGATGCAGCCCAGGGGAAGGTAGACCCATCTCCTTGCAGCAGAACCCATCCTATATAGAGAAAAAAGAGAAGTTTAAAAAGAAAAAAGAAAGAAAAGTATTCAATACTTAGTGATCAATTTAACCTTAGAAAATTAAAAATATGTTTTATGGTCTAATTGAATGTATATTTGTTGGCCTTCCTCTGAGTTGCTGACTCTCAGACCTTCCTTTGAAAGGATATTATGATTCTGGCTTGACAAGCAAGTGTCCTTGGGAGTCACTTAAATCTAGTGTATGTTTGTGAAGATGTGATGTTCATTTCACCATGGGCCTTTGCAGCTTTAGGAAACCTGAGAAGCATGTGTACCCTCTTCCCTGTACAGATTAGTGCACTTCTCAGCGATGTGGTCTCCTGTCTCCCTGTCCAAGAGGATTAAAGTGCAACTCATTCTACATGAGTAATGAGAGGTTTTGTTGGGTTTTAATTGAATTATTAGAAATCTACTCCCCTAAAGGCACTGGATATCTCAAGTATTCCTGTTTTTTGTTTTGTTTTGTTCTTCACTGAAAAATATTTGTTAAGCACCCCTGTCCTGTGGATCCTGGCTTTTCTTAGGTTCTTCAGGATTAGTTTAGAGATGAAGATATATCCATAGAAAAGCAGGAAGATAAGGTGGGTACAAACGAGTTCAGGGTCAGTAACAGTCAGCAAATAGTGCAATGTTCTAGTGGCTTCTCTACAAAGTTTCCCTGTCGGTTGGTTCTTCAGCAAATCGACCTAGAACACATGGGTAAAGATCAAGGACTAACTTGCCAATAGATTGCCACATAGATGTTCGTTCAGACTGAGGGCACTCTAAATACACACCACCACCTCAACAGCCAGCTCAGACGGATGGGGTGAAGAATCCGGAACCCAGAACCCAAGACTCATCTCCTTTCTGCATACTGACTTTCTCCTCCTCTCTTTTAAAAGAAACTAAATTCTTCTTTTTAAGGAAGAAAGAAATTTAAACAATATTCCGGTCGTTTTACACGGTCGGAAACTGTGCAGATTGCATGTAGAGCCAACTGGCAGTGGCAGGTGACAGTCTAAAAGGATGTGAGGGGTGGGCTCCAAGACTTTTTTTTCTCTCTCAATTGGTTAGTTTCCCGACCAACGCCCTTTCCACCTATGGCCGCCTTGATGGGACGCAGAAGAGTGACCCCTCCCGGGAACCGGGGAACCGAGTACCTTCGGTGGATGTGCGCCTCCGGCTCGGGGTCAGACGGGAGGTGTCCGTGCAGGCTCCTGGCTGGGGGACCCGGGTTGTCTGTGCAAGCTCAGGACGTCCCACCCCAGGACGCAGGAGGAAGGTGGAGACGATGTTGCAAGACCCGGGGTGGCAGGGGTTGGGAGCGGGGACCCTTTGCTCTGAGCCCGAGGCTGTGTTGCCGGCGCCTCTCTGGAGACAGCCTAGCAGGACCGCGCTCCTTTTCTAGGGACAGAGCAAGCCCAGAGCGCATGGCCACGCCCCCTCGAGGGGTCCCCGAACCCCGCCGCTCCTCCTGCTACAGCCTATCCAGGCTTGGCTTCATCGTGATCACGTCTGTCCTTTCTTCCTGGCTCCCTCATTCTGTTGGCGGTAGCAGTCATCACCCACAGCTATCTTCTCTTCCCTAGGCACCCAGCGACCGCGCCTGTGTCCACAGGAAAATTCTCTTAAGGCTGGAGACCTATTAAAAATCCTAACCCTCCCCGATGGGGTTTAACCTCCAGCTTATCACCATTTAAATTATTAACACTAACCTGTCCACAAACTCAAGCGTTACCTCGCCTGTACCTAAATGCACAGTTTAACTCTGGGAATGGTTTTCTGTAGCCTTCAGTAGTCTCTTATATGGTATGCCTGTGGTATTATTGCCTATGGTCCAGCCTTGGCTCATCGTTAGGACAATCATGGGTGTTATGCCTGTTTCCTATGCTCAAACTCAATGGCAGTGGTAAGATGCATGGGACAGAAAATCAAACCAAAGCCCTGGTTTACCTCTTCTTCCCTAAATTTAGACACGTCTCTTTGCCTTGCGGCTTCTTGAGCTAAGATGGAGATGAATCCAACATCCCTAATTCACTATCCCTCCCTCTACACTAAAAAGGATTCCTCCATCAAGTAATTGCTACTAGTAGTTCTTTCTTGGTCTCCTCCTCACATGAGTGGAGTTTTAGCATGGTTAACCATATACCTCATATCTTGACCTTAAATCCTTCCTGTGTTCTGTCTGGCTCCCCTCCAGGACCAGCTCCTGCGAAAAACAGAGTTGAGAAAAAGGGACGATTTGTTACTCAGATTTTGTAGGACACATATGAATCCATCTCACACCAATATGCTTCTCCAGTGTTTTAGGTATCTCAGTCACAATTATTCATGGGCTCTCATAGTAGGCAGATGAAAAGTTACCAATATAACACCTCATCTGAAATTTGAACTTTGTACTCGTCTATGAAATTCTCCCACTCATCAAAGCTGCTGTCCAATTTCACATGATTCTGTACACACACACACACACACACACACACACACACACACACACACACACTACCTTAAGGAAGTCATTTTTTGTACTTTTCTTTTTTGTACTATTCAATTAATGTTAGCCACTCAATCATTTCTTCTAAAAGGAATTAGCTATTATTTCTATTAAGTAATCATGAAAAATCCTATATCTTTGTTAAAAAATAATTTTCCAAAAAATACTGTACCCGAATGCAAATATTGCAAACTCTTTATAGAAAAGCTGTAAAATATACAGAGGCAGGCAACAGTTGATATATTTCTTTTCAGTTCCTTTTCTCAATGGTTTCACTCCCCTTATACCACTATAAAATACTTGAAGTATAAAGCATTACAAAAATATATGAAAACAGTGGATTTTTTTTTAATAAATGAAGCTGGGACTTGGTTATCCATAGAGAATAAAATTGAATTTAGATCACCTCCTTATACTATCACTAAACTCAATCCCAGGATTATTAAAAATTGGAATGTAAAACAAAGGAATTTCATAACTTTTAGACTTAAGAACATCTTTATGATTTGAAGTTGGGAAAGAGTTTTAATGGTAAAGATAAAAGAAAAATAATATTTGACTAATTTAAAATTACTGTTATGCTACTCAAAGTTATAACAAATATATTTAAAAAATAGGGCTTGGGTTGGAGTTTAGAATGCCTACCTACCATGCCTGAGGCCCTGGGTTCAATTCCCAATAGCAGCCCCTTAATTATAAAGGATAAGGTGCTTCAGCACATATAACCACAAGGGAATTGTGATTAGGAGCCAAACTATAAGAACTTTCTGTGAAATCCACAAGAATAAGATAAATGTCCCAATAGAGATCTGAGGTCAATTTTTGTTTGTTCATTTGGTTTTGGTTTTTGGTTTTTGTTTTTGAGACAGGGTTTCTTTGAGTAACAACTCTGGCTGTCCTGGAGCTTGCTCTGTAGACTAGGCTGGCCTCAAACTCAGGGATCCGCCTGCTTCTGCCTCCTTAGTGCTGGGATTAAAGGCTTGTGCCACCATTGACCAGTTTGAAATTTGAGGTCTGAAAGAGACATTTCTCAGACAACACAAAATAACGAACACATAAGCATATTCATAATGGCACGAGAGAGCAAGCAAGTACAAATTAAAACTACGATGAGATATTAACTAATACCTATGGAATAAAACACGTAATAAGTCTTAGAATATCAAGTGATGGTGAGCACAGCAAGTATATTACAGTTCTCCAAAGAACTAGAACCAAGAGGACAATTATATTTATACATAAATGGTATTTCATAGAAAGGTGCACTGGCTCTCTCACCCACACACAGATAAAGATATAATGTAAATAAGTGACTCGTGCAGTATAGAGCTAGAGGTTGAGGAGAACTGTTGGTACAGTTCTAGTCTGAGTCCAAAGGCCTGAAGGCTAGAAGAGAACTAACAACCCATCCCACAAGATTAGGAAGAGAAAACTCGCCCTTTCTCGGCCTTTTTGTTTTCTCAGGCCCTCAGGATTGGATGATACTTGCTCAACAGATTGCAACAGTAAGGTAATCTGCTTTATTCAGTTTGCCATTTCAAACCATTTTGTCACTCTAAATCAAATTCACAAACTCACCCAAAAACGTTTACCAAATGCCTGGACAACTCATGGTCAAGTTCACACATTTAACCCACTTCATGGCACAGCAGCACTTTTACATAAGAATGCTGTAAATTGTATAATTAGACCACAATTGGCACTATAAGTCATAACAAACACAAAATCTTTTATTCTTTTGAGAACTTCAAACATTCTGTATGTCCATTTGGCAAGCTAATAGCACTAGGTTCTCCCCTAGGGCCTAGGGCCTAGCCAACCTCATGTTTTCCGCCCAGTTAACAGTATCAAGACTGAGTTCTGCCTTCTGGAGTGGGCGTTAAAGCCAACCAGAAAGCGGTTGGTTACTCCCCTAATGTCCATGCTACTCTTGCACCAGTGGCTATGGACCAGGACACTAAAGACCACGACAGTCTTTATTGTAGCTCACAGGGTTCACAGATGGAGAAAACTTGATTATTTTTCTCCCGAGTAGCTAGCTTGCATAGCATCTTCAAGCACTATGAAAGTTAGCCAGTAAGGATCAAGTTTCAGGTTGGTGCCAGCATGGTTTCCCCATGTCCTGTGACTCGGGTATGAGGGATCCTCAGCAACAGGATCTTACCATCAAGGTCTGGAAGGTAACCAAGAGCAATAGCTTGTAATACTTGGGGGATCGATGGGGCCTCCCTGGTCAGCAACTCAAAAAGAGGCAACCCATACCACTAAAAGGTTTATCTGGTAGCCTACAGTGTCTGAGGGAGGCATTGTCCCCCCCATTACACAGTAACTCCATTTAAACGTGTGTGTGTGTGTGTGTGTGTGTGTGTGTGTGTGTGTGTGTGTGTAAGCTTCCACAGTAGTAGGTTTCCAGGTGGTGTTTTCAAAGGTTTTTAGGTACACATAACTTTCAGTACATCTTTACATTCCCAGGAATAGATCTTGAAGGAACTCTTGTGAATGGGGACAATGGAATGTGTAGCATTAGACATGGAAACAATAAAAATGACCATTAATATAAAAATAACTGCAGACTATTCAACAATGTGAGATATTATTCATCAGTGAGAACAATAGGTAGCAGCCACACACACACACACACACACACACACACACACACACACACACACACTAGATTTTTCTCTGTATGCAGTATTTCAGAAGGGCAAAATCACAGAAGACATCATTTTTACAAAGTTCAGAGACATACAAAATTAAACTTTTTTGTAAATACTTGTAAGTGGTACAAACAATTTAATGGTGACATGTTTCAGGAATGTGATTGAGTTTGGATATATGAGAGAAATGGGAAATTTCTCTGGATAGTGATGAGGGTTAAGAGATGCACTAACCTGAGGCTAGTGGAAAAGAACACTTCTAGAGGACCTGGGTTCAAGTTCCAGCTCACACATTGTAGCCCAGAGCTAGCTGTAACTCCAGTTCCAGGGTATCCAATGCCTTTAACTTATTCCATGGGTACCAGGCATGTATATGACACACTTAAATACATGCAGGCAAAATACCTAAAATAAATAAATCTAAAACATTTTTAAATGTTCTTAAGGGTCAGTTTATTATTGTGTCGATTTGCAAACTAGCAGTACTGGGTCCCTTGTAGTATCTTTATGTTTATGGATCCTAATTGTATATGTTAATTACATTTTTTGTCAAAAACTGTATAGGACAGTATTACGGATGCCATATTTCCAAGGTAGGAAGAGAATCCTTGGCGGCTGGCTACGCTTACAGGAAATGGAGAGAAAGGAAGCTCTTTCAACATACCTGCCTCGGGCGACACTGGCGAACATGGAGGAGGGAAGAGAAGGCAGCCGGTAAAAATGGTGAATTGATAAGCTGTATGAGAGCTGCTCCTTGGTCTTCTGCAGTGTCTGAAAATTACCTAGAAATATAATTAGATTTGAGATGATTTTCTTTTGATGGAACATGAGTTGCTGCCAGAAGATGTACATTGGCAACAGACAGTTTAGATGATTAGGGGGCACTGTGCTCAACTCTAGGACCCACAAACTGGAACCTGGATCAATGAAGGAAGAAGATTAAGACCTTTGGACAGTCTCCAGGAGAGAACAATAGGATGCAATTGACCTGTCAGATTGCTGGGAGGCCAAACGTTTTAGAAATTCTCCTAGCACGGGGAGAATTGGCTACAAATGATCCGGCAAAAAGGGAGTACAGAGACAAGACTCAAAAGCACAAATTCCTGAAATGACTGTGAAGACTGGTTTTGGAATGTGCATCTGTAATCCCAACACTAGGGAAACTGAGGCAAAAGAATCGGTACTTATAGGTTATCACGAGCTACATAGTGAGATCCTCTCTCTCTCAA